GTTTTCAGTTTGGTGTCGCATGCATGTACGTGCAGCCTTGAGAATGTGAAGCTAAACGGTGTTTAGAATATCTATACAAAGGTTTAGTGTAAAATTAATATCAGATTAGATATTTATGAGGCAAACGAGTTCAGCTAATAATCTGGAGTCACAATCATATATTTTGATGGCAGATGAACACTACTTAGTCTGCCTTGCGTACCTATCCCCTTTCTAAAAAGCACATACATTATTGTTCATTTTACTACCAACTCAGAAAATTAGCCTGTCTATCTCAAACACCACGGAACTCTGGGAATGCAGAAGAATTCATGAATATACTGACCTCTCGGAGCCCAGCAGGCATGAATGAAAGTCACGTATCATATACTAACAAGAGTTGGAAAAATTTCCCTGTTTGGCTCTGTTGGTCTAAAACTTGTATTTCAACCACAATCCTCACCAATAACCCTCTCCGTGTCCTTGCTATAGGTATAGTGGAGTTTTTCTTGATTACCCTGGTAATCACTTTATGTAAATGTCTCTGTGACACTGTATTTCAGGTTCATAAATTAGATAAATAACCCTGTATAAAAGATCAACGTCCGTGTTATAAATGGTATAGAGCCAATCTTACTTGTGTGTGCTCTTTATCGCCATCTGTTACTTAATGATACAGGGTAATTATACAAATCAGGAGTGTACAGAAGGTTTTATAAACTTTGTTTACTATAGTGAGAATTCAAAGTGAATTCAAAGTGAATTACCATTTAGAGACAGAGTAGCCGAAATGAAAGCTAACTGCCTTTAGGAATCTTCGCACTTAGGCTATTTTGGCTTTACATTTGAAATTCACATTGAGTTCACTTCAGCTCCCCCTATTCCTACACCCCATCATTTGTGGGACTTTGTACAGAGTACTGGCAGAAGAAGCACCTCTCCTCTATAAAGTGCTTTATGTGCCTGGAGTCTTATATTTGTCACAGTTTCTAAAAGTCCAGATTTACATAGAAATCAGCATTTTCCTAAAACATAGCCAGAACACCTTCTTAGCTTTCAACCAAACAGCTGAGGAAGTATTCTTCCACTTGTGTTAGCTCCAAAAAGCCAGTGGCAGGTGCACTGGGCTAGCACTTGCCTGTTCTTTCCCCCTTCTAAATGAGTTGGGTTGCTGCTCTGTGTCTGTGTGTGTCTGCTTGTCTGTGCTTGTGTGTGTGTGCCTGTAGGTAACTGTGAGTGTGCAAAGAGGCGTGTTAAGTGGTGGAATTGGGGAGGGGCCAGGGTGCATCTTTAGGAAGGTATCACCAAATTATTTTTGGGCTCAATCCCCAGTTGTTTTTGACCCTAGCAATACCCAGTCCTGTGGCTCCAGCAGCGAGGCTTATCTATTCTCCAGGAACAGAGTGGTTGTAAAGGCTTACGAGAACTTTGGCAAGTTATATTTGTTATATACTCCCAAAGAAAACATGCACAGAAAAAAAATACATGCATGTCTTCTTTGGTGGTCTATCTACTAAATTAAAATCAATAGGGTGATCCTCTAAAGTTGAGTCACATTATTACAAGTTATTTTTTTAATACTTGGCATTTTGTGAAACAGCAAAAGTAATATTTGTGATTCCAGTGTCACTTAAAGTAAAGGGACATTATAGATACCCAGACCACTTCAGCTCATTTATGTGGTCTGAATGCAATGCCCCTGCCCCCCTTAGTCCTCCAATGTAAATCATTGCAGTTTTGAGAAACTGCAATGATTACATTGCAGGACTAAGACTGCCTCTAGAGGCTGTCAATAAGACAGCTACTAGTGGCACTTCCTGGTGGTTAAGTGACTTGGTCGTGGTTTATGATCCTAAGCTGTGAACAAAGTGTTCTACAGTTTTATACTGTAAGATTCTTTGTCTCTTATAAGGACCATTCAGCTCAGCTTTGCTTTGCTGGAAGAGTTTGGGGACCTCCATTGTACAATATTGTTTTTCAAGCTACGCTCCTGCCATTACTCCATATCTATCTACACTGTTAAATTGCACTTTAAATACTGCAGATCAAGGCTCTACAGTTTGTGTGATAACCTGTTTATATAGGTATTTATTATGTAAGTGTTCTTAAAAAATAAGGCGGTGAAAAGGATTCTCACAATTAGAGAGTAATTCAACTATTATATATATATATATATATATATATATATATATATATATATATATATATATATATTGGGTTTTTTAGCGGTTACATGAGGAGATCACTGGAACAAGGTTGTCTGGCTGTGCTATTTCTTTGGGTGAAGATTGTACATAGATATATATTCTAAAGGGGCATCTTAGAATTATGTGCCTACAAGCAGCTGGAATAGAAATTTGGCTCTGCCTAATGTGATATATTAATAATAGCAGTATAATAAGACATGCTGATTTTCATATTTTGTTTGAGTGGTATTAAGCTCGGGTTGTCGGAAAGCTTAGATCTGTTTTTTTCATTGTAAATTCATTATATTCTGTTTGCAGTGAGAAAAGACTTACATTGTGTATTGTATTTCCCTATAACAGTGATACAGATTTATAACTAGACTGCATTTAAATCAGTTTCAAACAAATTGCGATTCGGAAAAATTTGGGACGATCAGAGGGTCGTCCTAATCCCTGAAGTCCAAGACACTTTGTGAATAAATCACAAAACAAATTAAATGGACAATGCATAAAAAATGTAATTTGATTTGTGATTCAGAGTTCCATTGGTGGAGCCAAAAAATGGATTATTGATGGGGAAAAAAAGAGGGTTGATGGCTAATGGGCATTTTTCTATTTTCGTTTTGTTGACACATCAAGTCAGAAGTGACCAATATAGAGAAAAAAGGAAGAGCATTAAAAAAATAAAAAATAAACTATATTAATACATTTAATAAATATATCATATTGAAATATGTAAATATAGATTTTTTTTTACTGCTCTCCTCTATTTCCATCTATTGGTTACTGATTCTCACTGGATCTGTGAACGAAATAATGTGAAAATGTGCCTATATCTGCCCTGCAAAAGAGATACATAATATATCTGTTTTGAAATACACGGATTGGCCCATTTTCGCACCCTTTTGGTTCTTCTGAACTGGTTTTAGTGAAGCTTTTGCATGGACAAAATTGACCAAATTTGTCAGAATCGAAACGCTGCATGGAGTAACCCAGAACCGCCCAACACTAAACATTTTTGGGACAAACTGAGTTGACCAAGCCAAATTGTTCTGCCTTGTCAAAGTCTATTTGTAACTAATGTTTGAACAAACAATTATCAAAACGAAAACACTACTTGCCAGGTGCTTTAGGTTACTGCAGATCCACATTCCACCACCACATTCCATTCACATTCCACCACAACACCGCCTTGTGCTTCATAGGAATTACCAATACTGTGCTGTACGTTTTAGATTTTTCAACAAATAATTTATATGAAGCTATAGTAAGAGAAAAAAAAGAGTGAGTTTCTTTCAAAACATGCAAAAAAAAAAAAGTTATTCAGACAACAGTATTAAAGGTGCTTCTGCAAAATTACAGAGAATTGGAAGAGGTGCTGATTGTCACTTGTTTTGCGATTATTTATCACCGCTATATGTGCCTTTGAATAAGTGCTGGTGCAGCATGAAACAAGTAAGGTATTGGGAAAATGGCCAGGGTGATGTTTGTTTGAAACTTTGCTTCCTCAGATGTTTCATCATTCCTTATGTCTATGTTTTGGAAATTCTTTTACACCATTTCTAATAAAAGAATATGTTTTTTCTTTGGAGTGTTGCTGCTCTCTACATTGGATTAATTCACAAAACACCAGATTGGTACTTACTCCTGTTCCGCTGCATATTGTTTGGTTGTGCATGATTTCTGCAACATTTCTGATTCTCCCCCCCAAGTCATTGTTGCTGGTATTGGTATTTGGCATGTGATTACACATTCCATTATTCTGCACCTTGGCGTATCTTAATTGTATTGTTGCTCCTTTTGGTGTCCTTGATTTTGGCTTTTCTGCTTTCTCATGGCATTTGCATTCTAATGACTGCTCTGCCCTCTGTTCTGTGTGCTGGGTAGACATAATTCTGACATTAGTGAATAAAAACTGAATTGCAAAAAGTGGGTAAGGGTGATTTGGAAAACTTTTCCAACTCTGCTGTAGTCACAGTTTGTCTATTTTTCCATAAAAATTCAAGGTTCTTTATAACTTTATAATGAGAGGTAAGTATTCTTCTTAGACTTTCTTTGCTGCTTCACACTGCAGCAAAATAAATAACATGAATGCAGGATCGAGCTTGGAAAAAACTTTGCATCCAAATAGAACCTAAGTGTCCAATCATGTTGAATTCCAGTCTATATACACTCTGAATGCTGATCACAAGTTTTACTTTAATGTAATTAAATGTGGATAGCATATTAATTAACTCTTTATTCAATCCTAACTGTACAAAAATAATATAAGTTGAAAAAACTTGCGGCAAGATAGATTTACCATAAAAACAAGGATGAAGTCTGGATAAAGGTCAAATGATAGCAAACGTATCCATTCTTATATATGTTTTCTCTGATAGATGGACAATCAATTATCATCCAAAGAAATTTTCATTCCAAAAAAATACACAGAAAACTCATTTTGTACAATAATATAAACATTATTTTAAGCTGTAACGAGAAGCAAAAAAAGAAAATACTGCAGAAATAATAAATATAGATGATGATAACAATAAATGATAATAATACTCACCTCGGGTCATTAATAAAAGTGTGACTTTACATCACAAAGCTAGTAAGAATTTTTAATTGTAATAAAACAGGAGGCTCATGTTATGTTCTTTGCTTGTTCAAGAGAGCATCCAATGCTGGCATTTCTGAGTCTGTTCAACAACGGAAACATTTTGGCAATCAGCGATTTGAAAGCAGAGGTAAATGGTCTATCTCTACAGGTCCCCAGATTTTCACAATGCAATTTAAAATTCTGTTGTTCAACTTACAATTACTTAGATCAGGCTTCCCCAAACTCTGGCCCTCCAGATGTTGCTGAACTACAACTCCCATGAATGAAAAAGATAGGCTGAGAATTATGGGAGTTGCAGTTCAGCAACATCTGGAGGGCTGGAGTTTGGGGAAGCCTGACTTAGATCCATAAAAAATCTCAGTTGGCTATTGCATTCTTCCAACTCTGTAATTCTGCAGTCAAATGTCAATATTCTTTTGGCTAACCTACACAAATCCTTTGGTTTGGTGCATCCTAAACAGTTGATGTATTGAACTGCAGAGACATTGTTCATCTTTAAAAGGAACAATGAATTTTGTCTTTGGCAAAACTATTGAGAGTGGAATATTATGCCAATAACGTTAAATAATTGATTTACAGGCTAAATTCCTCTTAAAGGACCACTATAGTGCCAGGAAAACATACTCGTTTTCCTGGCACTATAGTGCCCTGAGGGTGCCCCCACCCTCAGGGTCCCCCTCCCGCCCGGCTCTGGAAAGGGAAAAGGGGTTAAAACTTACCTTTTTCCAGTGCTGGGCGGAGAGCTCTCCTCCTCCGATCCTCCTCTTCTCCTCCCCGTCGGCTGAATGCGCACGCGCGGCAAGAGCTGCGCGCGCATTCAGCCGGTCACATAGGAAAGCATTCATAATGCTTTCCTATGGACGCTGGCGTGCTCTCACTGTGAAAATCACAGCGAGAAGCACGCAAGCGCCTCTAGTGGCTGTCAATGAGACAGCCACTAGAGGATTAGGGGAAGGCTTAACCCATTCATAATTATAGCAGTTTCTCTGAAACTGCTATAATTATGAAAAAATGGGTTAACCCTAGAAGGACCTGGCACCCAGACCACTTCATTAAGCTGAAGTGGTCTGGGTGCCTAGATTGGTCCTTTAAGATCATTTACCTCCTGTCCAGTTTGTGTGTTCTAATGCTATTACTAGGATTAGTAGGGCCTGAAAATTACTTTTGCATTCCAAGCATCAACGAGCTTTATCCACCAAATTAATTCTTCCCTTACATCCGTTGATTAAGTAATCTTGTCTACATAAGACACCCTTCTGAATTGATGAGCCTTCAATCTTCACTACCAAGTCATTTGCAAAAAAAAAAAAAAAACACCTCCAGAATCCGAGTAATATTGGTGTCTTGGGAAGTAATGTTTAAAGGTATTTTTCGTTTCAGTATGCATAGACATTACAGTATTAGATGGAAGCAAAAATGAAAATTTGGGTGGACAGGAAAATTTTCAAAAAATAATTTACTAAATAATGAAGTAATAGGGAGTGTTGTAAATCAATATATATGTATCGTAAAATTACAATATATGTGGTCACATTGCCATGCCTTTGCCCATACAATATCACTCTCATCGCAGACACATTGCTTATTCGGACACACACACACTAATACATGCACATGCATATATACACTGATACATTCACACGCATACACAAGTTCATGCACACACACATATATTCCACTCACTGATAAAACCGCCAGAAACGCAAAACATATGCAGATATTCAATGCCACCACACATACACACATGTTCTCAGATACAAACAGGTGTACAATGTAAAAGACATACATATTCACAGGGACCAAAATACACTATAAGACACATGTACCTGTTGTCAGACACACACACTGTCACATACACTACAGTAACAAACTATCAGACGCATTAACACATGACAGACACACACAGTCACACACATGCATACACTGCCAGTAACACATACTGTCAGACACATATACACTTATACATGCTGACAGACACATACATTTACCCTAGTGGCGGAGTGGTGATAGTGTGCTATAACTGCTAACATCAGCCATCATGCTGCTTCCCTGCTCCAAAATGATATGTATTGTAGCATTGCATAGTAAGTGGAGCAGGAAAGAATGTCGCCTGCTGCCAGGAGTCGCAGCACATTCACACTTTGTTCTTTGCCAGCTTCTATCAGCCTCAGCCACCCTCCCATTCTCCTCTTGAAGGGAGTGTGATTGTAACATTGATCTGCCAGCAGTTCCCTGTAAATACTGAAAGAGTGCAGAGGAGATGAAAGCTCTCTCCTGCTTCCATTTTTGGACCTGCAGAATTAGTAGCCAGCTCCCTGTAACCAAAGAGGCAGCAGTTCTCCCCCACACCCTCTTACCCTTGCAGCCTAATCACAGGCGTCAGCCCTCTACTCACGGACTGAAGCCATGATAGATCAGTGTGCAGCCAGTTCCCCCTCCAATCAGGAAGGAACAGTAGTAGCAATGAGGGGAAAAGCTGAAAACGGAGCTCAGCGCTATGGAGGTCACTGCTCAGTGACTTTTAGTGCCACCGAGCTGTATGTTTAAAACTATTTAAAGGCATCATTTGCAAAATAAATTAGTTTGCAATAAACAAATTTCATGGAATTTTCATGCAATTCATTGCAATTATGCAAATCGTGTATACATGACTGTGGGGTATGAATGCATATTCTAGCAATCGTGTATACACCAGTGCCAAGGTGAAGGGGTTAATGCTCAATAATGCAGAAGAATTGCAAATTGCTTGAGTTGAAGCTGGCAATAGTCCCACCATTCTTGTCAAGTGAGAACATCTAGTTGAGCAAGATTGATCTAATTTCTTTCTGAATGATTTTTGACTTCTTCCCTGGTAAACTCAGTGCTTGTCCTTCAGTTATAAAACCCCACAATTCTATTTGTTGAGCTGTTATCAAAGAGTTGTAGTGGCCAAATGCACATAACTTGAGTCTAAATCCTATGCTATCAGAATAGGACACACAGGATAAATACATATTACCACCAGTCCTTAGAGTGGATAGTCTTAATGGCCAGATCACAAAACTGATAAGTACAAAGTAATCATATGAATTATTTTGCAATGAGACCCCAAAGTGTGTGTTAAAGACTTACACTAGACAACTGAAACAATTGGATTAAGTTCCTTAAATCTCTCACGTGTTAAAGTAGTCCACTTGTTAAACAATTGTAATCTATGTGTATAATGTTGACAAACTATGAATGTATGACTACACTTTCTTTAAAACTGTGATTAGAACAAGAGAAATCAACTGAAGGAATTGACTATCACAGGTTGAGTTTATGGCATGTGATATGCAAAATAGAACTGTTAAATATGTAAATTAATTTTTCACTATGTGCTCCTCTCCCTCCCCCTGTAATGCAAGTAATAAATTCTCCTCTATCCCTTGTCAGCCAACCTCCCTACCCAGTGTTAACCCATTCTCTGCGAGTGTTAAACCCTTCTATTTAGATAGATAGTGTTCTAGAGAGATAGATAGTTATAGAGAGAGAGTTACATATTTATATATATATTTATATATATAAAAATATATATATAGACAGAGAGATAACACAAAGCTGTATAAGTATTCATCAGTTTGTCTGTCTCTTTATATTTATTTATACAAAAATTTTTACACTATATGATATCAAATGTGGTGAGGAAATGTTTGTGTGTGTGTGTGTGATGTGGTATGTAAGTTCTAGTGTCTGAATGCTGTATGTGTAGTGTAACTTGGGTTAAGTACTTCTTGGGCAGGCATTGTTGGAGTGTCATTACTGATTCTTATAGAGAATTACTGGAGCATGGCCATTGGTGGGCAGGCATTGTTGGCATGTCATTACTGATTCTCATAGAGAATCACTGGAGCATGACCATTGGTGGGCGGGCATTGTGGGCGTGTCATTACTGATTCTCATAGAGAATCACTGGCGCATGACCATTGCTGGGCAGACATTGTGGGCGTGTCATTACTGATTCTCATAGAGAATCACTGGAGCATGGCCATTGGTGGGCAGACATTGTGGGTGTGTCATTACTGATTCTCATAGAGAATCACTGGAGCATGGCCATTGGTGGGCGGGCATTGTGGGCGTGTCATTACTGATTCTCATAGAGAATCACTGGAGCATGGCCATTGGTGGGCAGGCATTGTGGGCGTGTCATTACTGATTCTCATAGAGAATCACTGGAACATGACCATTGGTGGGCAGGCATTGTGGGCGTGTCATTTCTGATTCTCATAGAGAATCAGTGGAGCATGGACAGTCTGGTTGAAATACAAGAAGCAGGGAGATATGAAATCAGAGGAGAGGCAGAAAATCCGACCAAAGTAAAGATTAAAACAGGTACCTCTAAAGCTAATTTTTACATTATTTATCGAAAAAAGCAGTTAGTGACAGTACGTTTATTGTTAGGGGTTAAAAATTATATGCATTTTTTTGCCTATACAGTTCCTTTAACAATTCCTTTTAAGGAAACCACAATCGCAAAATGCTATCTCATGGTTAAGATCTAAAACTGTTAACAAGGCTTTATTACGTTTAAAGAGTGTAAGCATAAGTTATTGACCTATTGAAGTCCCTTTGGAGTTATGAATAGAAGAACTGGATTAAATTGAAGGTTTCTGAATATTTTTTTGAAAAAAACAAACACATTTGGACAAAAAAGTCAACATTATTTTTTGTCTCAATGTCAAAAATGAAGATAGTTCTTTGTAAAACATCTGGAGATTAGCTTCCATCACTGAACGAATGAGTGACTGTTTTTGACAAAATAGAGGGAGAAGAAAAAAAACAATAGAAAAAATGATAACTTACCTTAGATTGGACCTGGTGACATGGGAGATTCTCTCGGAGAATAAAAACAAAAGAAGAGGATAAATAAAACATGGCAGCAAGAAGAAACCCTGCACGTAAAAAAGGGAAAGAGGAGAAAGATACAAAAGCAAAATATATCTCTGATTCAATGTTATGCCTCTCCAGAAGGATCACAAAAAAAAAAAATCAAAAATCATTTCATTTCCAGAACAAAGGAATAAGAAACAGGGCAATAATGAAACAGATTCCTCAAATCACTTAGAAAATATAAGTCAAGATTATCAACAAAATACAATAATTCAACGAGAGAAGAAAATAAGAGAATGTTTCACTAAAATACTAGAGGAGTATTGAGATACAATAAGAGGAGATTACAAAAAAAAATGGAGGAATTAAAAGGAAACATTACATTATGAGATCAAAAACTACAAGTAAATAATGATAAAATGTAATCTCTTAAATTTGATCTAGTGAAACAACAGGCTATAAATAAA